GCCACGGGGGAAGTGAGGAAGAAACAGAAAGGGAATGTTAGTTTCAGTAATACATCATGTTAGTGTCAGTGGTTTTGTGTAAAGGAGTTACAGAGCTGCACTCACCATCTAACTTATGGGTCTGTTTGCCTGGCTGTGTGTCAGTAAATATATATCTGTCAACGACATGATATTTGGTGTGCAAAGGATTTTGTTATCAAGAAGAAAATGTGATTCAGCTTTTTAAATACAAATCCTAGACCACACATTGTGGTAAGGAGAGAAAAATGGAACGAGCAGCAGAATAACAGCTTTAGCACAAAACAGGTTATTTCAGGAGACACAAAACATAACACCAAAAAGCGTCTTGTCTATATACTATGCCTGGTTTATCTTTCTTTATCTAGAGTAGCAGTTATAATAGTCTTAAAATTGATTTTTAAAATAGCTGTCGTTACAGCCCTATTTTTATTTCTTCTTTCTGTGTCTTTGAATGCACCACACATACCAAAGCAAATTCCTTGTATGTGTAAACCCATACTATTCTGATCTGTTTAAGATAGACAGATGCTTTAAAAAATATTTCTGCAGGTTTCTGTCTATTCTCAATATTTGCATTAAAAAAACACCACATTCCCCCAGTCATTTTTTATTACTTTTAACATTCAAGCAGAAACGTTTGTATTATTTTCAGACCTTTAATTTCAGGAATTCTACTGTTAGATACTCAAAGATTACAAATAGTCCGGAAAGTCGATATTTTTCTAGCTTTATTTTCTTTTAAAATTGGCAATAAATGTTACATGACGCATAATCTATTCTAGAGTTCATGGTGCATGATTTCGGCAGCAACTGATCTGTAAGCCTCTGCTCAAATGCTAGCGTTATTTGTTCACCTCACAAGCAAAGGTGTGAAAAGCTGCTTTCATCGAATATTTGATGAGCACATTTAATCCAAGGTGATAGTTCAGTGAGATACAAATTAAATGAACAATTGTGTTATCCTGTATCTTATTTACCACCTCCTCAATAAATGTAATAATAATATGTAGTGAGTATCATCCTTACTGGAATTATACAACACCAACAAATGAGTGTCAGGTTTTTCTTTAAATGCTTTAAGTTAGTATCTAAGCACACACAGTGATTGTGTGTGTTTCTCTCAACATGTTAATCACTGATGAAACCCAGTGGCAGAATCCTAATCAGGAGAATCAGTATGAAATCCCGTTGGGCGTTGTAATTTAGAGCTGATTACCGTGTGCTAACTAACGATATTCAGGCCGGCTGTGTGCTGATGTTTGCTCACAAGCTTTTCTGGCCGACTCCCAATGTCCAGAATCACAGACGCTCACACTTACTGAGTCCGTTAAAGATAAGGCAGCGAGGGCTCTGGACTGAGCGACAGTTAAATGTGCAGATGCTTCAGGGTCGTCTCCCAGCTGATCAAACTTTTCTATGCCATTTGCCAGTGTCCCAGTTTTAATCAGGTTTAAATGATGTACTGCATGCATACTCAAAAAAGCATGGCAAAGCAAATGTAGCAAATGTCCTTACTTAATGACATTTATATTCGTTTAAACATCCCCCCAAAAAGGAAGTCAGCCACATATTCATATTGTAACGTATACTAGTCATTAACACAAGCAGTAAACACAAACATGTAGAGCCACAAATGAACAGCTAAGGCGTACAAAAGTATTTTAACAACACTACAAGTCAAGTACAAAATAACTCACCACGCAGACTCCCCCCAGGGATCATATCACATCATAATGATCACATGTTGTAGTTGTTATTCTAAATCTGCAAATTGCTTAAGTTATCAAATAAATGTATTACAATAATGTAAGGTATGTGTAGGCCCACCTCAAAGTATTAGCTAAGTACACTTTAAAAGATAGTTCATGATCTAATCAAACGGTTGAGGAAATAGACAATATAACTTTTCCTTTTGAAGGTGGACAGACATAAGGGACAAAACTACTCAGAACTTTGTGATGGAAAGATATTTATGTATAAATATGGATGACAGTAGACTTCTAAATAACTATTACATAAATTAATGAATACATTCTAATACTCACTGATGATTCCAGAGTTATAATGACAGTAAACAAAGTCCTCTGTAAAGTGGTACAGTATATCTCCCCAGTGACGTCCATGTTGAGGTTTGCAGGACCAATATCTTATGAATGAAAGAAATAGTCACTCGGGGCTGACGACTGTATATAGCTGTTCAAGGATGAAGCACAAGTGACAGAAAAAAAGCTCAATATAATAAATTATCTACACATGACTGTCGACCTGCCACATGTCTTAGCTCCTATTTCTTTCCTTTTCAATCGTTTCTTTGGTTGATCACTAACACAATACTGGGGTCTTATTTCCACACTCTGTAGATGGGTACTATACTGAACATTAATATCTGAGAGTCTTAATATTTCAAAGATTAAAGATTAAACAACACATGTTATCTTTGCATGATAGCTTAAAAAACCCTCAAACTGAATACAATTATTATAAATAATTGATTCAGTCATTTGAATTGGACTGTTCCCTACAATGCTACATTCAACTCTTGATTAAAGAGGACATATTATGCTCATTTTCTTATTTATATTTTATGCCGCTACATGTTGCCATGCTTTAATGTTCAAAAAGGTCTTTGTTTTTCTCATACTGCCTGTGCAGGGATTTGAGCCTTTTAGACCATTTACATGCACACAAACCTTCAAAACACACTACAGGAAGGAACACTCAAAAAGCATGATTGGAGCTCATTAAAGTTTTTAGAAAAATCTTTGAAGGATAGAAAAATACATTGTCTGAATGAAACCAGTGAAATTAAGGCTAATGCAGTCTTTGTCTCTCTGGCATTCTGCCAAGGTTTGAAAATGACTTTATACCAAAGACGTCGGGGATAAGAGAGGCAAAAGAAAAGAAAAGATGCAACAATGAATGAGATCTTACAAACCAGTGTTTAGAAGTCTGTTGGCATTTAGCTCTTGGTATAAAGCCAGTCTCAGTTTTGAGTTTTCATAACTACCCCCATATTTCTTTCGTTAATCATTACACCAGTCACACCCAACAACAAAACGTTTCATTTACATTGACAACAGCATATGGATTTCATATGCAAGAGTAATTGTATAAACCTGCCTTAGGACTCTTTACTGTAAGGCACCATCAGCTCAAGGTATAACATTTGGATGAACAATGTATGTCATTTGGTTTCTCTCATAGAAACTCCTCTGAAGAGGCTCATTTGATGCTTGCATTGAACTTCCTCTCACTCACATTAAACCTTTCTTGTGCAGCAGTCGTAATGCTCTCTGTCTCCTGTGCAGCAGTGAGTTCAGCTTTTTATTGTCCAATTCAGTAAAGTGGACATTTATTCTTTTGGGGAGATGTTATTACAATTAATGTGGTTATGGCTTATTGCTCTCATTTGTGTTTGATCCAAGTTACATGTTTATGAAAAGTGACATTGTTTTTTAGGCCCAGTGCATTGTCAGAGTCTGTGTCTACCTTCAGAGCAAAGGCAAAGCAGGAAGATGTAGCAGTTTAATGCAATTTTCACGATTAGTTAACCTATTTTCTCGCCCTTTTCTTCACACTTAATTAACATTTAACAGTTTGAAATTAGCCTTGCTTTAACAGCTTAATACATCTGACCTTTTCTTCAAAAACAAATCCTTCCTCCGCAGTATTTCTTCGTTGCTCAATCTCTTCTTCTTTAACTCCCCGCTGTTTCCTTCCTCCGGGAGGTCCATCCACTTTTGATCATATTAATATCCTCATATTATTACATCTCATTATTTGCTTTGACCAGAAAGATTTAATTGATAGAGAGAGTCTGGAATAACTCTTGTGCTGGATTCTGGCTGACTGTAAAATGAAAACTCGTCTCTTGAAGTTGCCGCTTTCGTTTTGACACCCTCGCGGGTTGTTGCATGAAAAATTTAGCATATAGAGAGTATGAAATATTCTGTCATTCAAACAAATGTTAATAAACACAAAAACACACAGTGACTACATCTCAGCCAAAGATGCATTGGAAGTGTTACAGACAGGAAAATAAGTTAAGAAATCTTCTTTTTCCTCACACATATATAATGTGAATTATGAATGCCACTTCTACTCTGGAAATAGTTCATCTCATTCCCTTTCTGCTGGCTGCTGGCTGCAAGCTTGGCATTACACTTTTATATGTGTTTTGAACTGTTAGGGAGTGCTCTCTTTTGCCTGCCAACCTCTGCGCTGCTCCCTCTCGAGATTTATTGGAAATGTGACACAACTCTAAGGCAACCTGTTTGGTGACAAACCAAGCTAGAATAGGTTCTTCTTATTTTTTAAGAGCCCTCGTTTCAGAGCCCATCTTCACCGCAAACTGCCTGGTCGGGCCGCATCAAAGCGGATTAATGCGGTTATTAGTGATGGTTAATGGTCAGGACGAGGCTTGGAATCAGAGAAAAGGCTGTTAACATTGCCATCAAACCTGAGGCCAGGATAGAGTAGCTTTGCGGAGCCGTGTTGTGCCAGAGTAGCAAATGAAATCTCAGCGAGGAGAGGGTATTCTCATTGGCATTCCTCCCACGTCGCCTCAGCCCGTTTCCTCCAGCGGCCAGCACCCACTGTCTCCACAGCCCTATATATTCCAGGCCCGAGTCTGCTGTCTGCTGATAATAAACAGCCCAACAACCGGGCCAGTGATACAGGGGTTGGCTGAGTTAGAGCCCAGCCGCCCTGCTCTGTCCATCCCGCTCAAAGGTTGGGCAAAACCTTTACTTTATGCTTGGTGTCACTGCGTTTTAAAACCCCAGCTGTTACTGCTTTGCTCCGAGGTCTGAATGTCATTGGGCTTGTAGGAAAGATAAAAAGACCTTGGCATTTATCCCAGTGACAATAAAGGATTATGCTCTAAAAGACAGTTGTTAAATGGCCCTTTTTTCAGCCTCTTATCAAATTTACTTCAGCCCACCGTGGAGGAGTTTCTGACCCTGTCCTTTGTCTTGCAGGTTTTACCCTGTCTGAGGAGGTTGCTGCTGCTGTTACTCCACGTCCAGGCCTCCCCCGCCCTCCCCCCCCCTCTGCCAGCCACAGAAGCGTTGGCCCGATTCCAGGGAGGCTCCGATCCTGCAGCCACGTCAATCACGTCTTCACCGCTGGGTAACTATAAAGCGTGCAGGCACTCCTCCTGCCTTTGAATTTTTGGATGAGAAGCACAGACTTCTGAGATTATGTGTGCTTGCTTTCAGGATGGATTTTCATGCTTTTTTTGTTATTTCTGGGGTCGCTCATGTGTGCATGTAATAGAGGCATTTTCTCCAGCCGAGCATGTAACAGACACACACAAACAGCGGGGCCTGAGGGCTCAGGAGGAATCTCGAGGGGTTTGATCCGAGCTGTTCTGTCTTTTGTTTTCGTCTTGATTTTCAAGCCCATTGACTAGTTTGACTCTGGCTCCAGGTGTCATCTAGTGAACTGTGTCACACTCAGCAACTGCATTTCAAAGTTTGGTCGCAGTGAAGCGAAGAAAAGCGGAGGATAAATCAGCGGTGTGTATGAAATGTTGTCCTGCCTGCAAAGCATAATATTGCAAGTCAGTCATACATACTGATGATGAGCTGTCAGGCATGCAGTGTGTGTAAGGAGACATGCTCTTTAAACCGGCACCATGACTTTGTGTTATGCGAAGAGAGTCGTAATGATGAGCTCGCAGAGAATTATGAACTGACTGTGCAGTTTACTTTCTTTGTGTTTTAGTGTCTTGTATCACGGTTTTATTTACAGTTGCCACCCACCTCCATAAATAGTGGAGCATTTAGCTGCTAAAGAGACATATATTTCCCTCAAGAGCTTGTTGACAGCAAAAAGTGCAAATTGGAGAGTCGATATTGCTTTCCATTCACCAAGTGACCTACCACAACATAATGCTTATAGAACGCATGTGTTTAATCTCGATTGCCATTTTGACCTGAAAAAGTAATTATAAGACAGTTTATGCTGGCCAAAAAAAGTTAATTATTGCAGTTAAAGGATGTTAGGAAGAAACATATGCATCTAAGTTAGGCGTTTGTATTTCTTACACAATTTCTTCATGGTCCACCGGACACTGAGCTGTCCTACTGACCCCAATTTTCTTTCTGTCTGCTTAGCAACTTCTAAAACAAAAACTAATTTGGTTAGAAACTGTGACACTGGACTTCAGTTTTCAATCCATCTGCTAGTTGGGTGCACTGCCAAGTGAATGCAACAAGATATGATGAATATAAGAGTCCTTGTCAAACCCTATACACACCGTAACAATGTAAAAAACATGATTGAAATATTTATGTTTCATCTAGAAATTTGACAAAGGTTAGTTTCCTCATAGCTTCACACGCATAATGTTTGTCTGCTGCAATTTCTGTCTTTTACGCCTCATGCTTCATGATGTTTTTATATTAGTTTGGTTCCATGACACTGAATGGTATTTTTATTGATGTCAATAATTTTCCATCTATGCACAAATTGAAAATATGAAAATATATCCTTTCTGTGTATTTCCTGTCTCCAATAAGCCCTTAAATGACCCGGCTCACGTGATATCCCTTTCGGTATATATCATCTCCTTCCTGCACATAAATGAACCTCACATGATCACATAGAGAGATGCGAGCCGCTACGTCTGTTTGTTTTCCTCCCGCACTTCCCTTCAGCTCTGCTACGGTGCATTTAATCATCGAGTCCCCTTACGCTCCTTTCCTTTGTTGCGGGCCCGATCGTGCCATGCTTCTCCCAGTTAAATAAATGGGTCCTGGGTTTCTGCCGAGTTGTCATTTAGGTGTGTTTGACCCTCTGGAGCCGATTCAATCACTGTCTACCCACAAATAATATCCTCCTCCTGCCCTTATCTGTGACTCCAAATGACTGAGCTCCAGCCCTGTCTTCAAATCTGAGCACCACAGAGGGAAGCAAAGGAACAAGGAGGAGGAAACCCAGGGAGGGTCATAAAAGGTAGCTGCTGGACAGAAAAAAAGACAGAAAATGGTGTGAGGATACCCAGTGAGGGAGCAGCGATTGTGAGGACATAGACCCGGCTCTATGCTCTGGGCTGGCAGCGAAATTAGCTCTGCGCAGCGCTCACTCGGTCTTCCAACTGTCGTGACACGAGGGAGCGTAGCCTCGCTCTCGACTGCTGTCCATAAGAGATCTGGTTTTTCGAGTTGCAGCCGGTTAAAATGTTATCTCTCTTCAAGTCATTTGAGAAGGGCTTACGGTACTTAGTCAGTGGGAGAGATTTCCCTTTCTGATTTGTTTCCTCCTCTTATCTGTAGCCTCATCATCGTCGGAGCTGAAGTTTGACAGTTTGCAAGTGTAGTCTGTGCTTGAAATGACACAAAGCAGTGCATTAACCGCCTCATATGTTCATCTGCTCAACTGCTGAAATTAGCCACCCCTCATGTTGCTGCGCTCCTGTGTCACAGAGCATCCCCAGCCAAGTGTGCGCGACAATAAGCTAACGTGGCGGCACCCTCACCACTGCAGTCTGCATGCTAATCATCAGAATAGCGCTGCAATCACCAACATGTCTCCCGAGGTTTATCCCTCCAAAGCCCATAATACTGTCTATTCTGATTCCCACATGCTACCATAATCTTTCCTGCAGGATTTACTGCTTTAAATCGTAATCTGTGCAGTATTAAAGCATATCTGAAACTCACTAAATATATCAACATCACATTAGTGCTTCTTATAAAAACCTGATGGATGAACTGCAGAGCTCACTGTTCGTGTGGCTCTCTGTTAATAATGTTCAGCTTAGCATGCTTACCCTCTTGAATGTCCCTGAGTGTGTCGAAGACCCGCCACAGTGGCTTCTGGGAGCCTCATGTTTCACATCACATTTCCTCTCTCCATTTCTCTACTCTACTTCACTTTGCAGTTCTGCTCATCTACTCCCTGGTCACAGTTTGATGTTCTATGGGGGTTTCTTTTGAATCTGCAGCCTCCCTCTTTCTTTTCCTCCCTTGTTGTCCAGTGATGAGCCGCAGGCCGCGTGCGTTTGTGTGTTGTGCTCCAGAGGCCTGAGGATGAACAAATGTGGCACTCCCCTATCATCTTCTCCCTCTTCACACTAGTCTCCCTTTTCGCTGTCACATCTCCCACTCTTCCTCTTCACTCCTTTATTCCCCATTTAACTTAGCATGTATCTCGCTCTGCCCGTCGCCTCTGAGAATGATGGGTAATGTTCGGGGAATGGGGGAGGCTGCAGGAACAGAATATGGCGTCTTGAGAGAATCACCCGTACTATTTGTTCTTATGATGTGTGTGTATGTGGTTGTGTGGTTTATTGAGTTGTGGATGGGTAAATGGAAGGATGTTCATGTGGGAATAAGTGGGAGGTAAGGGTGTGTTGTTTATGTTGGCTGTATCTTAATGTTCCCATTTGAGGAAATATATATAATTTATGTGCATACACGACTGTTGAGGTGTGGGTAAGTGGTGTGTGAGGATGGTGTTTTGCTTTTATGTCTCTAAGGAAACAACACATTATTGGAAGAAACACAATAACAAAATGGGAAAGACAACATTTTTGGCCATAAATGAAAAAGATAACAACAAACATGAAACACAACATTTGAGAAAAGCCATTAACAGTCACAAAATACAACAACATTGAATCATCCTTTGGAGGATAGAGCATTGATGTTTCACATATATTAAAATGTCAGAAGTAGTGTTGGGCATTATGTGACATTTTTCAACAATATGGCAACTGTAAGCCCAACAACAGCTCACTGTCGATATATTGGCGCATGTGTTTGTGTGTGTGTATGTTTATGTTTACAAAAATCTACAATATATTCTTCCAAAGCTCAACCCTACTCTGAATTGACGTTGATAAAATTGAAAACACAACAACAGTTGAATGGACTTGTTCTGTCCAATCACTAAGAAAAATTGCTGTCCCTATTTTTCTCTTTTTGTGAAACGTTGTTGTGTTTTCTCTTTTGATTGTTGCCAATTTGTTATTATGTTCTTATATTTTTCGATTTTTGTCTTTTTATTCTATTTTCTTGTTGTGTTTTCTTCTCCATTATTGCTGCAATTGCGCATCAATGCAGCAACAGCCCACACTGCATGTTCATGTATATGTTGATGTGTGTACATGTGTGTCTGGTGTGCACCCACACAAGTTAGCAGGCGTGCACTGTGTAAAATTAAATCCACGTCAGCAGGCAGCCATTCAGATAAGATTAACAGGACTTGACATATCCTTCGTTGCAGACAGATGCTTGCTCCACTTCTCTCTGAACATTTCCCCTCTCCCCTGTCCTCCGTCCAAATTACATTTCATCTAAGTCTGAGAATATTTCCCCCTGCAGTACTTACCCAGTCTGCCCACAGCAAAGACCTGTTCTCACCATAAATATGATTTCTGGTATTGTTATTACAGGGAAGTGTGATTAGGAGAGCATGAGTTAGATTAAAGGCTTGTTTTATGCCATATTGAAACCAATTAGCTCCAAGTACACACTTTCACCTCAGCAGACAGACGACACGATAGGATATTATGTATGCATGAAATCTCAGGTCTGCAGATTTTTTTCTTCTTGAAAGCCTAAGAGGGGGAAAGTTTCCATGTCATTGTGTAAGTAAAATATGTACCAAAAAACTTCTTATATTTCCATGATGGTGGAATAAATAAAAAATGCATGTGGCTCTTACAGTATATGACCTATGTCCCAGGATAGCAAATGCTGCCTTGCCATCTATGATTTAATTTAGAAAACGGAGGCAGAAAGCACATATGTAAGTTTAATATGAATGTGAGTTTGTGCAGGCAGTATTCAAATATGTGTAATGTGCCGTACAGTGAAGGAACGAGATTTATGTAAAACAGAACAGAAGATGGGGACATAATGTGGGGGTTAGTGAGTTACACTTAAATAGATGTGGACATCATTTATACATTAGCACAGTGGATGTCAGGGATGTCACCAAGGGCCACAGTGAGGAAATGCGAGTATCATTTATGCATAAGTACCATTATTGTGTCGGAACACCGCGTAGAAAAAAGTAGTAACATCCGTGTTTAAAACAGTCGAAGCAGATAGTTCTTTTTTTCAAAGGCTACTTTAAAGCAAACCTCTTCACTGGTCGGACATTCACACACACCTACT